GCTAGTGGGGGCCAACTCAGATTGGGGGGCAGGGTTGAGGGACACAGCTTTCTTTCCACTAGCCATAGGTCCTTCAAGCCTTGGGACTTGTAGAAGTTGGAGATAGGGTTCTTTAACATCAGAGACTCACCCAAAGGCATTCCAGTGCCATAGAGGCACTGACAAAGGTGCACGCACATGAACATACTGCCAGTACCGTGTACAAAGGCACAGCTCAAGCGACTCCTCTGAACCTTGCTGGGCACTGTGCTGTGATCTAACCTCTCCCAGCTTTCCCCCACATTCCCCATATGCCAGTCTACAGACTCTCACTTGTGACTGTCCCTGTGTTCTAGGGTACACAGGATAGGGCTTATTAGGGCTGGCTATAGCCTTCTATGGCTATCATACTCTGAGATGATACTTTAAGGGTTTTTTGTCTCTTTTATTGACATGGTGTGCCATAGACCCTGTTGCCGGACACAGTCATACCATTTTTCTGAACTGGTTGCTTCTTTTTTGCCTCCTGTGCTACCTTGAGCCTTCTCTGTCAGGCTCAGAGAGGTCCCTAAGAAGATTATGGTCAGGATCTGGACATAAGGTGATTCTCAGGAGATTGTCATGGGGTTGGCAGGCCTATCCTCCATGAGCCAGTTCCCCTCTGTGGGAGGTCTGGACTAAAAGAAATTTATCAGATAACTCCCCCACCCTTCCCCACAAGAAGCTACATGTGGATTGGGAAGCAGACTTAAGGACGCCAAAGGCTGCCAGGATTCTTACACCCTGATTCTCTTAATCTAGACAACCCTGAGATTGGCCACCTGTTCATGTCTCAGCTGCTTGATCTAGAATACAGGGACTTAGCCGTAGTCACCCCAGGTGGGACTGTCATGGACAGGAATCTCAGGGACGCTGGGGCCTACCCTGGGTGCTGATGGCCCTTTCCACATACTATAGGCTTCCCGGATTTGGCAGGAGCTCGAGGCCGAGGAGGAGCTGGTACCTGAGGGGCCTGGGCCCCTGGGTCCCTGGGGGCCCCAAGACTGGGTGGGCCCCCCACCACGTGGCCCTACCACACCAGATGAGGGCTGCCTCCGGTACTTTGTCCTGGGCACTGTGGCAGCTTTGGTGGCCCTTGTGCTCAACATGTTCTATCCCCTGGTATCCCAGAGTCGCTGGAGATGAGCTCATCTGCAGGCAGCTTCTATGAGCTGACCCAACTGCCTGCCCACCAGACCATGTCTGCCTTTGTGGTGGGGAACAAAACTCTGGGCTTTGGCCTCAGTGTGTACATCTGGTGGGAGAGGATGGGCACTATAACCTCTGCAGGGGTAGAGCATCCTAGAGTTGGTATGCATTCAGCTAGCTGCCTGTCCGTTCCTTCTGCTGCTCTGACCCTTGGTCTGGGTTTGGCCTTGGTGGAGCTACTTCCTGTATTTAAAGTGTTAATAAAGCGAGAGTATTCAGGCCCGATCTCGTCTCTCTGTCTCAACGCCGCTGCTATTTGCGCCTGGCTTGGGGCCCTCCCTTGGGTGCCGGGGCTCTGAACCAGCACCCCCGGGATGCCAGGCAGCATGCTGGGCAGCCCCCAACCCCTGTCCTCATATTTTGTTGCAGGGACTAGGCCCTGGACAGGCCCCCGAGGTGGCCCCCACACGGACAGCCCCTGAACGCTTCGCCCCCTCTGTGGACCGCCCAGCCCCCACCTACAGCAACATGGAGGAGGTCGATTAGCAGGTCCCTGGCTGATGGAGGGACTGGGTTTGGGGAATCCCCTATAGAGGGCCATCTCTTTGTTGCTTCTCCTTCTCTAACCCAGGGGACATTGGCTTCATCAGTGGGAAGTTGGGGATGGGGACCTCTCGTCAGCTTGGTTCCCTGACTGGTGGGCCTGTCTTCTCCAGCTGCCTACAGTGCTGCGTGATTTGAGTCTCAGATGTACCTTCAATTCTTTCTGACCCGCATTATAAACCTTATAATTTTATTCTAAAAATTGTAATTTTTTTTTGCATTTTGGAAGTGATTGCTGCTGTTTAAATATATTTTAAAAATAAATAATAAATAAGCAGACTTAGTGACTGATCCACCATGCTGTGGCTACCTCCCCGCCCTCTCCATCACCTGGTGTGTGTATGCGTGTCTATGCATTAAAGACCCTGAATGCGCTCTAGTCTGGAGGGAGATAGCAGGGTCATAGCTCATTCCCTGGTGGCACGAAGCCCCAGTGTCATCAGCTCTGTAGAGCCTGCTGGCTGCCCTGTTATCCAACTAGTTCTGGGTCCCATATAGAGGTGGCAGTGGTTGGCGTCACTGTCAAGATCTCATTACATCCAAGGGATAGTGGAGTATTCCATGACACCCTGGAACTGACTATCATATGAAAGGTGCAGGCAATGAAGCAGCCTGGGGCTAACAGCCAAACAGCAGCAGGTCAGGGAGGTTTTGGTGGGGGACAGGGCATTAGTTGCTGGGAGGAACCTCCTTTCCAGTTCTTAAGTCTTTCTTTGCTGTTGGAACACCAACTGTATTCCTCAAGAGAGAACAGAGCAGGAGGAAAACTGCTGTGAGGCAGATCTTGCTCTGAAAAAAAGACAGGTAGACCCCACCCCCCGGGGGGGAAAAAAATAAGGCAGGCAGGGAGGGCCAGGGCTAATTTTTTGTCTTATTTCCTACTGGAGGTAGGGTGCTGGGTTCCTTCTGAGACCTTTACTCCTGGCAAGTGCCCCAGGCTATTGTGGGTGCACAGTAGGTCTGAAGGCCTGCCCAGCCTCAAAGCCTCTGCAACCTTGTATATACATAAGCTCCTTGCCTCCCTTTGGATAATACTGTCCCTCCACTCTCCAATTATTGGTGAGTGGGCTGGGCCTCTCTAGCTGGAGGGAGGTGGGGAGCAAAGATACCTATGAGGCAGTGATGTAGAGAAGATGGATAAGACAAGCAGAGATGTGGCAGGGTACAGAGCCTTTTCAGTCCATCTCCAAGCCTATGGAGCCAGTCTCATGAAGCTCAGCATGCAGGCCTTGCTAGTAACCCTCAGCCTTGGAGTCAGGGGTAGCAGAGGGAGCTCCTGGAAGAAGTTGACCCCATGACAAATCTAGTGGGAACGATAACAAGGGCTATGTGGGGCTCTTGGTTATGGAGATGAGTTTGGGGAGCTGGGTGTGGGACCTTGCAGAAATGGTGGAAATGCTGGATGCCTGCTAGGCATGAACTGGAACAGGACTGTGTTGGGTTTCTTTTGTGTGTATGTGCAGCCCTGTTGCTGAGCCCATAATCCTGTACCCTTCTGTGGCATCTTCATGAAGCTGCTGTGGCCATGAGCACTGGTGGCCTATGCTGCCTCTGTATCATTAGCCTATGACATAGGGATCTATCTGTGCTCCTGGCTGCTAGCCCTACCCCATGCCATAGTGGGCCTTGTTGCCTGCTGCCTGACTTTTCTCCTTGACCATCTTTCCTAGAAGCAATGTCAGGGGCTCCTGTCAGCAGGCTAACCACAGGGTAAGCCCATACAACTTCACATTTCTGCTATGTGCAAGTCATATAGTTCCAGAGGACTGACTAGATAGCTTCTGTAAACTGCCACTCCCACCTTGTGACATGCTTGATGGCACTGGTAGAGCAACTGCCTTCTCCTATTACATGGGATTCACAGGGAACCAGGAAATAGAGTGCAGGCTCTGACCCAATGAGGGGGCCGTTGCCAGACCTACAGGACTTGGTAATGGTGGTGACTGTGCTGCAATGAATCCTTGGGTAGCATCAGTTACAGTGACAGTGGCAGGTACTCTATAGCTCTACTCATCATGGGCACTTTTGTATTGAGCTAGGCTCCTGCAGCTGTAGACTTGGCACGGAGCTGGTATGGCGTTGGCTCTGCTTCTTGGTGCCTCTATGATACCATTTAAGCATCATGACACAGGATTGGATCTGGATACTGATGCAACATGTGGCCCTGTACAGAACCTGGCATGTGGCCATCATGTGGGGCCCCAACATGTAAGTTGGTCATTGGTGGGATGTGGGTACAGTCTAGTCAGGATCCTGCCCAGTCCCTGAAGATTAAGAAGTATGGACGATACCAAGGCCTCCAGGAGCCTGAGCTCCTATCCCAAATTTGGGGACTTCCCTCACAATCCTATCACCAGAAGCTAGTTCTTCCACCCTCTACTGAAAAACATTGTTCTGTTTTAGCCAGCAGGTCCTGGAAATTCAGAGAACCTGTCGGGGTGCTAAGGCACAATAGCTAAAATCTCTTCTATCCTACGTTGTCCCAACCTCAAAGGCCTGTAGAGGAATTTTAAGGTAAAATTTGCTTTCTTTGTGGTGACATTTGCATGCTTTGGCAACTGCTAAATGTGTCACAAGATTTTATTTTGAGACAGGGTCTCATGTGTCCCAGGCAGGCCTCCGACTTGCCTCCTGCCTCAGCCTTCCGAGTAGCTGGGATTACAAGCACCGGCTTCTGCGCCAGGCGTAGTAGGAAATTTTTAACGAAATCACCACAGAACTTCTGTGAGGTCCCTCCTGACTCAAACTCTTTCCTTTCCTGGCCGGATGTGTCCGAGTGGCGGATTTATGTGGTCCCTCGATAGGCCATTCTGCACATTCTCTGCAAAGTCTGGACCCGGGATTTCCCAGGATTCATTTTGCTTAACTGTTTCCATGACAACTCCAAAGCTGTGACGTAAAAAACGCGACAGGAACTCACATTTGCTGCCCGCGAACAAGATTGGGTAGGATTCCTAGGGTTGAAGGAGAAAAGTTGGAGAGCAAAAGTACACGCCCGCGTCTTCCGCCTGTCTTACTGATGAACGCTTTCCCTTCAGGCGAGAGGCAAATCTCCAGTCCGGCAGATCCCACCCCTTCTTCTAGCACGGGCCACGGAGACGGAAAATAAGTGCCCGCAAGAGCCGGTTCGTCCGCTCTCCCGTAAATGGCGTAGACAAGCTAGAGGGTCCCGCCCCTCTCACCGAGGAAGAATACGATTGGCTCTCCCCGAAAGCTTCGTTGTTTTATTGGCTAGTCGGCGAATGTCGACGTGCAGATTCCGTCAATGTTTCTTTTGGTTTCCGGTGTCCCTGCGATGGCGGCTCCGGACTCGCTTGCGCTTTTCACTAGCCTCGGCCTGAGCGAGCACAAGGCCCGCGAGACGCTCAAGAACGCGGCTCTGAGCACGCAGCTGCGCGAGGCGGCGGTCCAGGTGCGAGCTCCTATGCCGCTGGGTGGGGCTGCTGAGTGCGCCCCAAAGTAGCGTGGAGCCGGGTCCAGATTCCGACCTGAGGCTCTATCCGGCTCTTGCCTCTCTCACTGGTCTTGGAGCTTCTCCCCTGACTCCTCTGTCCCCAGGCGCAGCAGATTCTGGGCTCTACCATCGACAAGGCTACCGGGACCCTGCTTTATGGCTTGGCCTCCCGACTTAAGGATATTCGGCGTCTTTCTTTCCTCGTGAGCTACATAGCCAGTAAGAAGATCCACACTGAGCTCCAACTGAGCGGTAAGCCCTCTAGCTGTATTACCAATTCTACTTCGAATCCCTCTCTTTAACCAAGAACCCTGCCTACTTTTTCTACCAAGTCCCCCACTTTCTTTTTGGACACCTAGTTCTGGACAGGCACTGGGGCATAGAAGGAGTGGCCTCTGGTGACATTAATAGGGGAATTCTCATGACGAGGAGTCTCCCTCAGAACATATACCTCTTTCCTGTGCCCCCAGGGCTTCCATTGAGTGATACCAGGACCTCTCAGGAGGCAAAACTAATTGAGGTTTTATGGGATTAGAGCCCTGTCTCCACACCTCTCGGAGCTGAGATGCCACAAAGTCATTGCCTCTCCTTTCTTAGCTGCCCTCGAATATGTGCGGAGTCACCCGCTGGATCCCATTGACACTGTGGACTTCGAGCAGGAGTGTGGTGTGGGTGTCATGGTGACCCCAGAACAGATTGAGGAGGCTGTAAGTATTTCCCCAGGCATCAGTTGCCTCTCCAATTCTGGCTCTGGAAAGGAATGACTTAACTTCTCAACTCAGAAAGACCCAGGATGAGAGTGTGGGTCCCTAAAATGTGTCTGAAGGGCCTTTCCTGAACCATATGGTTTGACTTTCTGCAGGTGGAAGCCACCATAAATAGGCATCGTCCCCAGCTCTTGGTGGAGCGGTACCATTTCAACATGGGACTGCTGATGGGTGAGCAGAGCCTAAGGCAGAGAATTAATTGTTCTCTCTAATCATACCATCTTTTCTGGGCATAAATGAGAGTAAGGTGGGGGAACAAGCAGGAGCTCCTTAAAAGTATGTTGGCTGGGCACAGGCTCTGGTTCCTTGGGAAGGAGGAGGAGTGCCCTCTTTTGCTTTCCTGTAGCTTCTTGTGCCTGTGCTCCTAGGAGAGGCCCGGGCTGCGCTTAAGTGGGCAGATGGCAAAATGATCAAGCATGAAGTGGACATGCAGGTGGGTGCCTCCCTGAGCCCAAGTTGGAAAAGACCCTAGCATGGACAGGGCCTGGAATCCGCTGAGGGATAAAAGTGGGAGGAGATCCTGACCCCATTCTGATGGTAGATATTGGAACACAGTGTGGAGGAGACAGCACCTGATTTGAGCTTCTGGGTTATGCCTTATTTGTGGTGAATCATTTTACTCTGAGGCTCAATTTCCTCATCCCATAAACAGAAATGTGATGGCCTTTATTTCAGGATGTTGGCATAGAATCATGAAAGGACAATGACTGAGGTAGACTGTTTGTCTTGATGCTGGGCCCATAGTTCTCTGTAAATGGCAGCCAATGTTACCTGGGTCCAGTATGGACACTTAGGAAGGAAGAAGCAGTTTAGGCCCTCTGAATCATCTGAGAAGATGAGGTGGGATGGACTGAGTAGACTCTTCCAGGCAGTGCTGGTGGACAGGCCACAAAGCTCTTAGGTGGATGAGTTGTGGCAGTTGGGTGATCCTTGAAAGAGGACATTCCTGTCCCTGCCTGACTCTTGTTTCCGCTCAGGTCCTCCATCTTCTGGGTCCCAAGATGGAGGCTGATCTGGAGAAGAAACCCAAGGTGAGGCTGGACATCACCCATAGAGCTCCTGGGGGAGTAGTAGGGTAGGGTGAGACTCCTGGCTGGGGAAGGGAGTGTCTTACCCCATTCATCCTTAGGTCCTGCCCAGAAAGATTCTGATGCAATTTTGGTGTTTCTCTCAGGTACTGAAGACACGGCTGGAAGAAACAAATCGGAGGACTGCAAAAGATGTGGTAGAGAATGGTCAGTGGCCTGAGGCTCCTGTTACATTGATCTCCTGACTTCTGGGTATTCCCTCTGAAGAGACCTTACAGCGCAGGTTTCTTATGCCCTTGGCTTATTCATACCCTGTCTTTTGCTTCAAGACTGGGATTCTTGGTATTTCCTTTGTAACCTTTGTTCAGAGGCTTGGTCTCTGACTTTGTATCTCTTGTCATTGGAATTCAGAAAGGGGCCTGCTCAGATCTGTTCTAGTTGTAAGATATGGATAGTAGAGATAGGTACTTACCTGAACTGGATTTGGTAACTATATCCAAAGGATCAATTTTTCTTGGTTCCTGTCTTGCAGGTGAGACTGCTGGCCAGACTCTGTCTCTGATGGAGCAGCTCCGGGGGGAGGCTCTTAAGTTTCACAAGCCTGGTGAGTAGTTATAGTGAAACCTTGGGCAAGGCTGGTTCATGGCATTGATTCCTGTAGCCAGACTCCCGGGGTCAGGATCCTTGGCCTCAGCCCAGTCATTAGTTTTGTTCTGATCCTGGCAGGTGAGAACTACAAGACCCCGGGCTATGTGACCACTCCACACACCATGGATCTACTGAAACAGCACCTAGAGATCACTGGGGGACAGGTGTGTGGGAATGTGGCCAGGGAAGCTAATGCCATCTAGCACCTGCTTGGGTGCCTAGGCTGCTTTTACGCTGACCCTTCTCACCCATTACCATAGTCTCTATGAAAAGGGGCATCTGTTTCTTTGGTGTGGTCTGAGCTCTGACCTCATTTCTCTGCTCCCAACCCCATATCTCAGGTACGTACCCGGTTCCCCCCAGAACCCAATGGAATCCTGCATATTGGACATGCCAAAGCCATCAATTTCAACTTTGGTTATGCCAAGGTGAGCATGTGTCTAGGGTTTTGGGCAAGCAAGATAACCACTGGCTGCTCCCATGACTGGATCCCAGAAGGGTGTCCCTTGCCTTGTCAACTAATGTGCATAGGCAGACAGAGGTCATAGGTGGAACCACATGTGTGACAGATACCTTGGGTTTATTGGGCAAAAACTCTGTAAAGGCTATGCTGTCTTTTCCAAGTTGGTGTGAGAGATAACTTATCTGAGGCATTTATTGCTTTTTATCTTTTGTTTTTTGAGACAGGGTCTCTCTATGTAGCCCAGTCTGGCCTCCAACTCATGATCCTCCTGTCCCAGCCTAATGAGTGCTGGGATTACAGGTGTGTGCCACCTTGCCTGGCTCTTCTAGGGCATTTAGATACAGGAAGATGAGAGAAGTTCTTAAGAAGGCATTTCAATTTTCTTTCTTTTTTTTTCTCTTTTTGGTGTTGGTTATCAAAAGAAGGCATTTTTAATTCTGACATGAGAGCTCTCAGAATGTTCTAGTTTGATGAGCTAGACTGTAGGTGGTGACGGATATGTAGGACCTCACAGATACTCCAACTCTTCTAGGCCAACGATGGTATCTGTTTTCTGCGCTTTGATGACACCAATCCTGAGAAGGAGGAAGCAAAGTTCTTTAGTGCTATCTATGACATGGTAGCCTGGCTGGGTATGAACTGGGTGAAGCCTGGGCAGGGCTGGTGGTCAGTGGGCCTCTTCTTGGGCCATGGTCTTGCCATTGAGTATTTCTTGCTGACTGCTTACACTATGTCTCATCCTGTCTCAGGTTACTCACCTTACAAGGTAACATATGCCTCTGACTATTTTGACCAGCTGTATGCCTGGGCTGTGGAGCTCATCCACAGGTGAGGTCAGAGCCATAATGTAGAGCCAGGTAGTCTAATGAGGTCATGGACTTGCTGAGCACTCATACCTCTTCTCCACAGGGGTCAGGCTTATGTATGTCACCAGAGAGGGGAGGAGCTCAAAGGCCACAACCCTCTACCTTCATCCTGGAGGGACAGACCCATTGAGGAGTCACTGCTGCTCTTTGAGGTAGGGTCCTAGAAGGACAGCTTGGTTTGATTGGTCCAGGTTGCTAAGGATGAGGTCAGTGCCCCTGTGCTTAGAGGTAGCCTGAGCCCTTGCTCCCCTCAGGCAATGCGCAAGGGCAAGTTTTCAGAGGGTGAGGCCACGCTGCGGATGAAACTGGTAATGGAGGATGGCAAGATGGATCCTGTGGCCTATCGTGTCAAGTATACGCCACACCACCGCACAGGGGACAAATGGTGGGTATGGGCATGGAGTGGGATGGCGGGGTGTGTGAAGCAGGGCAGTGGGCCTCAGGGTAGGGCAGAAGAGCTAGATAGTGGGGCCCATTGCCTTTGCCCCGCAGGTGCATCTACCCCACTTACGACTATACACACTGCCTCTGTGACTCCATCGAGCACATCACCCACTCACTCTGCACCAAGGAATTCCAGGCCCGGTGAGGGAGCTGGGGCCATGGGGTGGGTAGGGCCAGTGGAATTCCAGCAGCCCTCCCTGTGGTTTCTCTGTGTCCCAGAGGTGACCATTTCAAGCCTTACTCTTCTACCCTAGACGTTCTTCCTACTTTTGGCTGTGTAACGCACTAGACGTGTATTGCCCTGTGCAGTGGGAATATGGCCGCCTCAATCTGCACTATGCCGTTGTCTCTAAGAGAAAGATTCTCCAGCTCGTCGCAGCTGGTGCTGTGAGGTAGGTGTGGCTATTGGGCTTATCAAAGGTTTGTAGTAGTAGTGGTATGTGCTGCTCAAGGCCTTCTTACCACCTCCTTATTCACAGGGACTGGGACGACCCACGGCTCTTCACACTCACAGCCCTGAGACGGCGGGGCTTTCCACCTGAGGCCATCAACAACTTCTGTGCCCGGGTATAGCCCAGTGGACTGGGTGGGTAGATAAAGTTTGAGTGTGGCAGTTTTAGTTGTGGCTCTGACTGATGAACTTTCATCCCAGGTTGGGGTGACAGTAGCACAGACCACCATGGAGCCACATCTTCTGGAAGCCTGTGTGCGTGATGTGCTGAATGATACAGCCCCACGGGCCATGGCTGTGCTGGAGTCACTACAGGTTGTCATCACCAACTTTCCTGCTGTCAAGGTAGGCCTGCCTCAGCATCTTGGTGTGTATGTGCCTGGGCATGGGGGTACTAGTGCCTGGCATGACTCAGATGCTTGTCTCCTGCTATAGCCTTTGGACATACAGGTGCCCAATTTCCCAGCTGATGAGTCCAAGGGCTTCCACCAGGTTCCTTTTGCACCCATTGTCTTCATTGAGAGGACTGACTTCAAGGAGGTAAAAAGGGAATTGAGGATCCCATTTGCTGCTGTGTCTGGTCCTGGGGTCCTTTCATCTCCTCATTCCTTCTGTCAGTCCGTTTCCTTCTTGCTTCACATAAACCTACTCCTTCCAGGCATGAGGGAAGCCTCATACTTGTCTGACCCTTGTTGCGGACTCTTGTGTCTCCCCTACTTTCTACCCCTAGGAGCCAGAGCCAGGCTATAAGCGCTTGGCTTGGGGCCAGCCTGTGGGCCTGAGACATACAGGCTTCGTCATTGAGTTGCAGCATGTTGTCAAGGTGAGAGGCATCTGCAGCTTTCCTACTGTAGTTCTTGCTTGGATCAGGATTTACAGCAGTCCTGGGGCTGGCAGAGTAGCTCAAGTGGTAAAGCACCTGCTTAGTAAGTGTGAGGCCCTGAGTTCAAACCTCAGTACCACAAAAAAAAAAAAAAAAAAATTAAATACAGCAGTCCTGGTGGTGGTTCCCTGGTCTAATTGCAGTCCTCCCCACTCCTAGAGCACCAGTGGCTGTGTGGAGCGCCTAGAAGTGACCTGCAGACGGACTGATGCCGGAGAGAAGCCGAAGGCCTTTATTCACTGGGTGTCACAGCCCTTGTCATGTGAGATTCGCCTCTATGAGCGACTGTGAGTGAACAAGAGTTGGAATGGGGGCACTTAAAATGATGGGTATTGCCTGCTCTCGCTGCCAAAATAGGGAAATCTGATTTTCACTCTGGCTATAGATTCCAGCACAAGAATCCTGAAGATCCTGCTGAGGTGCCTGGTGGATTCTTAAGTGACCTGAACCCGGTAGGCTCACAGAAGATGGGGTAAAGGTGGTGGGCCTTCCTAGCTGGATAATTGCCTTAATATCCCTGCTTGCAGGCATCACTACAAGTGGTGGAGGCAGCATTAGTGGACTGCTCTGTGGCCCTGGCAAAGCCATTTGACAAGTTCCAGTTTGAGCGCCTTGGGTACTTCTCTGTGGATCCAGATAGCCGTCAAGGACAGGTGCATGACTTTACCCACCTGCCCCTTTCCACAACAATGATGGTGGCTGCTGTTCACTGTGCTAAAGCACTCTGCCTACATCCTTTTAGTTAATTGTCATAAACTTAGATGGGGAGGGATGTTTTACTGATGAGGAAACTGGCCTAGAAGTTGTCTGCACGATATTTTATATGGACCCTGCCTGTCTTGCTCCTCAGCAGGCAGGCTTAGGAGTTGTTTAATCCTTTTGAAACTGAGACCCAAAGCCATCCAGTCCCTTACCCAAATTCACAAAGTTATTGAAAGCCAGGTTCTTCTGTCCCTCGGTCCCTCATCTCTTTTGGGACAAGAAGGGAGTTAGGGGGAGGTGTCTAGTGAAAACTACCTAGGCCTTCTGGCTTGTTTCTGGGTTGGTAGTCATTCTTCTCCCTTTGCTCTCCAGCTTATCTTCAACCGAACTGTCACACTGAAGGAAGACCCAGGAAAGGTGTGAACGGGAAGCACTGTGGATCTACCTCATCTGGAGACTGGGGGTGCTTTCACCCCCCCCCACTCCATGTCAATAAAGAATAGTTCAGTCTCCCTGTAGTCTGTGTATTGTCTGCCCTTCTAGCATCCTAGAACCCTGGAGAAATGCTGGGAATGTGTCGGGAGCATGTGCTTGTGCACATTTTGTGAGAATGAACTTCCCAGAACAGAGGGGCACTGACAGGTTAGAAAACGCTGATGCACTTCTTGGTTCTCAAGGGCTTGGGGGCCTGGGTGGAATTACTATGGTTTTTACCTGGTCTGGGGAACTCCAGGGCCCTAGAGGTGCAGCTCTGATGTTAGGAGCTCTGTGACAGAAGGACCTAGGTTTGTGTACCTGTGTGTCCAGGCATATGAAGAGGCATGGCTTCCAGTCTGATCATTCAGCAAATACTATTATGTATCAGGCACAGTAAGAGAAGGCATTTGTGCTGTTGGTGTCCTTTCTAGGGACAAGGAGAGGCCTTCCTGGGGCCTATGCAAGACTAGGAAGAGGTTCCTGACCCAGCCTGGGCTACATACTGGGTCTACTCAGGAAAAGACTTCTGAGACTATGGAGTTTTCCAGGGCAAGAGGACCAAGTGCAAAGACTGGGGGTGGGGGGAGGGAGGAGGGCAATAAAGGTCTACAATAAGCTGATTGTCCTCTGAGGTGCTGTGGGTTGCTGGTGAAGCTGCAGGTGAGTGCCTGCAGCTTTAACGACTTCCACATTTTCCCTGTATACAAACATCAGTCTACCCGAGACCCGCTTTAAGGTGGACCTGATTGCGGAAAGTCCAGCTCAGATGGCAGCAGATGGTGAGTGTCCCAGATGCTGGGTTCTCCAGGAGATCAGAAATCTTAGGGCTTTCTAGGCGGGGTACAGGTGGGAACGCTGGGCCCAGGTCAGAAGTTTGTGGGGGCCACCTTAAGGGAAAAGCCGAGCTGTGTCGGGCCCCGCCCTGCGTGGGGCTGCGCGACCAAAGGAGATTCAAGCGGGCGGCAGAAGGTGGGTCCAGGAAGCATGCTTTGAGACCCAGTCTGCCAAAGCTCCCCTGCTAGGACAAACCCAGACCCTGGCTTCGCTCTGCATGGAGGGGCGTCCGTGGGCTGAGTGGCCCGCCCCACAACCGGGATCAGTTCTTTGCCTGAGCAGCCCGAGAAGCCAGATATGCCGCCTCCCTCCCCAATCTGAAGCGTTTCCTTTAAGTTTGGCCGGCAGGCAGCCGCAGCTCTCGCGGGATCCGACACTCTGATTATCGCGAGAGAGGTATTCGGCACCCATTGGCTGTGAGGGTTGAATGTAAGATGGCGCCCAGGGAGCTGTGAGGAGAAAATCCTGTCGGTCTTGGAGCGGCGACGGCAGAACCGGGCCCCGGACGGTGCAGCCGGGCCGGCGGGTAGAGCGGAGGCAGCGGCGGCGGTGACGTCGCCGGGTGAGGGCTCCGATGGGGGCACAGGGATGCGGCGAGGCTGCAGGACTGGGACAGAGGGCCCACCCCACACAACGGCGGGCGGGGGCGGGCGGGCAGCTTGCGGCTGGGCCCAGGAGACTTCGGGGCGGCTCCGGAGCGGAGAACGTCCCTGGGCGCGCGTGCCCCCGCCCTTGGGTGGGGGAGGGGCGGGCCTGGGATTTGGGTGGGCGCGGCGCGCGAGCGCGTGCTGTTGCGGGCGCGCGCCGGAGCCTGTTTTGTTTTTTTTTTCGCGCGCGGGGACGCGCGCTGTGCGGGCCTCCCAGTGCGCGTGCCCGCCGGCGTGCGCGTTCTCGATATGGGTATTCCGCTCTAGGAGCTGTGGTCCATGGGCAAGAGCGGCTTCCCGGGCGCGCGCCCGCCTGCGATTTCCACCTCCCCCTCAGTTTTGGGGCGCGCGCTCTGCTGTTGGTTGACGGTGCCGCCTCGAGAACGCGCAGGACGCTCCTTCTGAGCCAAGGCGCGGCGGGCGGCTTGCAGGCTAGGGAAGGTTGGGGTTGGGCCCTTCCTGCTCTGGTGACGTCCCTGGACAGCCGTGGCCTGGGCCTGCAGAGAAACCTAGTGGCTTTGCTGTCTGGCTTGCGGCTCCGCTTCTCACGAGGCGGGCGATATTGCTAGTTCTCGAAGAATGCTGTTACCTGAGGCCCATGTATGGGGTGGGTGCTGCCTTGCTTCGGAAACCGAGTCCTTTTGGCCTGAGAGGGCACTGGGTGCCCCTCTGGTTTCTTAAGCTTATACTGGGGCTTTGTGCCTGGAAAGGAAGGTTTACATTAAGGGCCTTCAGTAGTACCTGCTTTCCTTTGCTTAGAAAACCATTCTTCCATAAGCGCAATTCATACACGTCACCTCTGTGCGCTCCGGAAGGGGATCCTCTTATGTAGATGATATAAAACTCTTGATCTCTATAATGACACTTTTAATCCTTAAAATGCAGCAATTTTGTTTTTTCTGTGTGGGTAGGAGGGGCTTACTTTAGTCTCTTCGACTAAGGTCCCACTCTTACCTTAACCAAAAAGTTACCCAGAAAAATTTGATCACCTGAGAATCAGTGCTTTGCTTATTTCAAAAGTCTTCGGTAGAAGTTCCTAAAATCCTGTCCGTATATCACTGTAAAAGTAAAGTAACTGAAATCTTTTCCAGCTCTTTTTTCCTCCCACCATTGTGATCTGGTGCCAAGGGAGTTCTAGGTTTGTCCTAGAGAAATATTCACCTCTTTTTTTTTTCCAAGACAAAAACATCTGCTAGTTTGCTTTACGATCTTGTTTCATTAAAGTTGAGGAAAAGGAAGCTAAGAGGACTTAAATTAGCAGTCAAATTTGATAATGGGGGTAATTTTTTCTAATATACTCTATTTTTTTAAGAACAAAGTTAAAACTTTTAAAAAGAGGCTGAAGATGGAAGGAACTTCTTTGTTCTATCTTCTTCAGAATGTTAGAAGTCTTAAGAACTCAGGACAAGCAGCAGAAATACATGCAACATGGTGACTGGTGAGTTAAATTGTTCATATGCTGGAAGTATGTGTGCAGTTTTTTTTTTTTTATGGAAATATTGAAACATTACAAATCCTGTCAATCACTCTGGATACTGTCTGCCAGAAACTGCTAGGTGCTAGAAAATTGAAGATGTGGGAGCCTGTATCTTTGAATCCAGCCTCAATTTGTTGCTTGTACAGTGTTCTCTTAAAATGTAAGTCAATGTAACTTGCAGGTTTTAGCCTAGCAAAGCATAGCTCAGGACCTAAATAGTTCCCAAAAAAAGCAGTCAGGTTGAACTGTGACATAAGTTGTACCTTTTAGGCCTGCTTGTTCTGAATTATCTTTGTTTTGAACTAAATTGAGATCTTTTGTTGATTTTTGTGAATAATTCTATAAACTCATCAACTAAGATTTGTTAGCTATCTTCTAGTCCTTTGTTGTAAATTATTTGTATACCTCTCCAGTTCCAATCTTCTTACAAGCTTATGTTGCCATTTCAAACAAATATCAAATAGTGGTTAATGTATGTAAATTTGAATTGTTCCAAAAATATAACCACAGTCAGGGCCTTTGGATGTGGTGGAACTCCTTTATGGCAGTTTTACAATTAGGGATGTCTTCCTTTAAGCTTGCATGCTCTCTTTTAATTTGATCAGTTATGGTTTGTACTTGTGCCATGCTTCTTGCTAGTCTGCTTTCAAAGGGCCACCCTTTGAAATTTTAAAAAATTTCTGAGTTGGCCTCAGAATGAGATGTTACATAGACACCTGTTCTTTTCTGTTACTTTACCCTGCATTTTGTTCTAGATGTTTTAAGTCCTCTCAGGCTTCAAATAAATGCTTCCTTTGCTTTTTTCCCCCTGTTATAGTTGATTGTTATTTCTCGGCTGGGTGGGGGGGGGTTGTTTTTTGGTGCTGAGGATTAAATCTAGGGCCTAGCACATGCAGTCTACCACGGAGTTGCTACCCCAGCCTTGGATTGTGATTTCTCTTACTAAACTGATGTGGCTGCTTTACTTTGCTGAAAGGGGGATCTCACTGTTTAGGCCAGAGCAAAGATATAGGTAGAGTTGGTGGGCAGTGGGCAGAAAACTTGATGCTTTATTTATTTTTTTTATTTGTGTAATATTTTTATATATTCTGTTCACAGATGTAATCTGAGTACAATTTAATGAGAAATTATGAAGTGAACCCAGTAAAACTAATTCTCTCAGCACCCCTGAGCCCTTTGTGGGTCCCTTCCTGATCACCACTTCTTAATCCCTAGATACAACTACTATTCTGATTTGTGTGTTGATCCCATTCTTTGTTTTTCTTTTTATATTTACCATCTTTGTGTCCAGTTTTTTATTTGAATTCTATAAGTGGAATCATGCTTTATTGTCTTCCTCCTACCATTATATTTTTGAACTCTGCCCATGTTGTATTCTGCCAAAATTAATTCCGTTTCTTTATCATATTTTTGTATGAGAGTACCATAATTTATTCATTCCTCTGTTGATAAACATCTAAATTGCTTCTAGTTTTTTGTGAGTAATACTACTATGAACAATTTTGTATAAGTACCTTTTACACATACATGTATGTCCCACACCTAGTGATGCTTAGTTTTGTGGAATGGGTATTTTCAACTTCAGTAGTTAATGCCAATTGATAGCTCATCAGTATTTGGTAGGAATACAAATTTTCAGTGTGTACATGAAAGTTGTGTTATTAAGAAATGATGAAAAACCATAATGAAAATGCCCCTAAATTAGGGACTCCTCAGTAAGGGCATGGGACAGATGGAATAATTATTTTTGGCTGCACTGGAGTTTGAATCTAGGGCCTCATGCTTGCTATGCAGGCTCTCTACACTTGAGCCACTCCACCAGCCCTTTTTTCTGATGGGTATTTTCTGAGTTAGGGTCTTGTGAACTATTTCCCTGGGCTGGCTTCCATTGGTGATCCTCCTGATATCTGTCTCCTGAGTAGCTAGGATTATAGGCATGAGTCACCCTTGTCCAGCTAACAGGATAATTTCTATCACAAACTTTGTAAGGGGTTAAATTTCTGTAAGAATAGGAAGGTTTTCCATTTGGTTTTTGAAATAACTCCTTGTGTTAGGACAAATATGGGTATAACTTCTTAAAATGGAATTTTAAGAAGTGAAAATATTCTTCAAACCAGACTTCCTAAGCTATGAGGAACCATTGCTAGAGTAGATGCAAGCTTTGAGAAGGGGTTAAGACCCAAAAAGAGGCAGGACTCTTGTGAGGCATCTCAGGCTACTTTCCCTTAGTCCATCACAAATTCAAGACCTGTTCTGCAGAACTGTTTGGGGAGTCTGGAAGAGGCATCAGAGATAAGTGACCCCAAAAGGAGTGGTTCTGGTGAGTACTTAGATCATCTTCCCTTAGTACCTAAATGGAAAAAAGCAATCAGACCTTTGAAGGTGATTGTTATTTTAAAGTGATCTTTCCCCATTGTACCATTTTTTCTAGTGATAAAATAATAGCGTATGTGTTAAGGAATTGCTCTTTATCAGACATTGTGCTATGAGTAAGCTTCAGTAGAACCAAGTAACTGGGCAGATTTCTATGATTAGTTGGGCCTAGTGAAAATCTCCTGAATCTGTTGATGGATTGATTTGTCTTTATTCTACAAAGCAGCCATACTTGAAGGATTTAGGAGTAAATGCTTTTTTACTGATTGTTTACTCTTTATGAGCTCTAGTGTTTTTTCTTTTTCCGTTATTAGTGTCTTTCAACTCCAAGAAATTGAAAGCACTTAGATATCCCCACTGCTTCAGGTTTTTTAAAGGTATTTTAATTAATTTCGTTACTGCTCTTCAGTAAGACCTTGACTTGGCCCTAATTAAAAGAGACCTTTTATCTCTTTGGAGGTTATGGAAGGTGGTATCATCAGGTTTCTCCATTTTCTATCAGTTACCAAGGCTCAGACTTTGTGTCTTGTTGAGTAGCATTTTGAAGAAGTTAACAGTGTCATTACCATGTGGATTTTTGGTGTTTGATGGTTTTGTTTGTCTTTAAGAGTTTCAGCTTTTGAGGAAAAATTATTCCTTCAACAAGAATGTATGTTTGTTACTGTTATTGCAGTATAACCTTTGTGCAGAAAAAAAAGGATGACTTTTATTTACCTTTTTAGTTAACATAACTTGTGGCAATTATAGGAGAATATTAAACAGGAAGAAACACAAATCATTTGATTCTATCTATGCTAACTACTGTTAGCATTCTGATTTTTTTTTTTTTTTTGTGGGACTGGGGCATCTCAGGGATTTGCACTTGCAAAGTGGGGGTCTTGTAAACTATTTGCCCTGTTGGCCTTGAACTGCAATCCTCCCAATCTCAGCCTCTCAAGTAGTAAGGATAACAGGTGTGAGCCACTGTCACCTGGCCTGATACATCTTTTTGGCAGATTTTTCTTCCTAATATATAATTAAATGATACCAGAATATATAAGTAGAAATTGTGTTGGCTGCTGTCATTAAATATTTTAAAAACCCAAACTTTGAATGTAGAATTTGGACAAGAAATCTCTTCCTATGTTTACATGTTTTTTTTTTTTTAAAAGATACCATGGTTACAGAAGGATCAGTGGAATCCACACATAAAGCTTAGAAACTTTATTTATATAAAATAAATCACTGTATATAATAACAGTGATGTTTCAGTTTGGGCAAACAAATTTCAGTAATTCAAGAAGTTGTAGAGTTGTTTTGTCTTTGGAAAAAAATTAAATTAGACTTTTGCATCATCTCATTCAAAATACTGTTAAGTATTTCTATTAAAGTACACTGAGAGCCAGGTATGTCTATAATCACATCACCTCTGGAAACTGAGGTAGGAGGACCTGAGTTAAGACTACTCTGTGCTACATAATGAGCTCCAGGAGAGCCTGAGCAACATAGTGAGACACTGTCTCAAAAAAAACCAAAAAAAAAAACCAGCAACAAAATGTACACTGAAGTGTCAAGGATGTAGCTCAGGACTGAGGACTGAAGATACTTGTTTCTAAGACAAGAAGTTGATGACATTTTCCTTCATAGTTATCTTATATCATGTCGTATAGCTGATATGATGCTTAATCTGCTCTACCTGAATTTCTGAAATTTGAAGAAGAGACTTAGGTTACTGAAAGTATTTTAGAGACTGGCTTCACTGAGAAGCCATTTTCTGAATGTTTTTCAGCTCAGTAGCTGCATTGTTTCTTTGTATTGGGGTGTACTCATTTATTATCTTGGAATTGAGACAAAAAAAGTTTTTTTGCTTCATGATTCTCTTTACTTGTGTGTGTGTGTGTGTGTGTGTGTGTGTGTGTGTGTGTGTGTGTGTGTTTGTGTTTGTGTTTGTGATACTGGAGTTTGAGCTCAAGCTTTGACTTGTGCTCTGCCACTTCAGCCCCACCTATATCCCCAGGCTGTTCATAGACCTCTATCCTACCATCTCTGCCTCCTGAGTAGCTGGTATTATAGGTGTGAGTCACTGTGCCGGGCTCTGTTTACTTTGTAAAAATTGTTTTGACACAGTAGCTATGATTCTAGTACTGGCAGTCTTGAAGATTCAAACATTTTTTAGTATTTTATGGGAATGCAAGTCATTGAAGAAAATAAATTTTGGAAATGTAAGTGCTGGTTGACCTTTGCTGGGTTTTTTGTTTGTTTGTTTGTTTGTTTTTTATTTCTGGGGATCTAAGCATTATCATTGAGTTACAGCCCCAGCCTTGTTGTTCTTTTACATTAGAAGTGAAAAACTGAATTATGTGCCAGTATGGTAGTTTCTCATATAATCTCTCCTTTGTTCCTTGCAGAGCAGAAGGTTATATGTGATTAAATACTAGAGTCCTGCATGTTGTGAACCTTGTAATACTATTAGATCCTTATTTTTCTTTTCTTTTTTTTTAAATTTTTTGAGGCGGGGTCTTGCTATGTGTTAGCCTAGGCTGGTCTCAAACTCAACATTCCTCCTGTTTCAATTTTCCTAGTGCTGGGATAACAGGCATAGGCTACCACATCTAGTTATTACTGGGTCTTTATTGTGAGAGATGCCTTCTTAAGGAAATTGTAGCCTTGACACTGTTAACCAAGGGAAGCTTTGGCACATTCTGTACCAGTGTGGTGAGTGAGTGCTTTTGTGTCAGTTATCTGAATCTAATGGAAAGACAGTATGCTTGGCCTTGATGTTCTTTTAATTTATATGAGCTGCTGACATTGGTAGCTTGATTTTGAAGTCTCATAGCAGATGTAATTTTCTACCCTGAGGGAAGATAATTGAAAGCTCCTGCAGCAGGGAGAAAGGGAAAGCTGAGTTAAGGGAGGTGGTGAAAAAAGATGTTGCAAGGGAGCAAAAGAGTGTTAAGTTTCAGAAGACGAAAGACCGTCCACAGGGCTTTCCTGAGAAGAAGTGGAGGCCTCCTAAGAAAGTGGTCTAGAAATTCTGATTTCAGATAGAATAAAGTATTACATGTTCTTTATTTTTGGCAGGTTTGAACTCAGTGCTTACTAGGGAGACACTGTCCCACGTGAGCCACATCCTTAGCCCGTTTTTTGCTTTTGTTAACTTTTGGGGAGGGAGTCATCATTTTGGCCAGGGAAGCCTCAGACCTCAGTCCTTCTACTTTTAGACTCTCATCTAACTGGGATCACAGGTATGCACCACTACACCAGGCTAATTGAGATTAGAGTCTTGGTAACTTTTTGCCTGGGCTGACCTCAAGCCAGTATCCTCCTAATCTCCACCTCCCTGAGTACCTGAGATTACAGGTTTAAGCCATTATGCCCATCCTTGTAGTGGTCTTTATTTGTGGAGAAATATATTCACAATATATTTTGTATCATTATATAAGATTTATTGATGGATCTATTCTGCTTGAAAGGACCCAAGTTCAATTTTTTTTTCTTTTTTTTTTTTTTTTTTTTTTCTTGGTGGTACTGGAACTTGACCTCAGGGCCTCGAGTTTGCTAGGTTTTGCTAGGCAGGCACTCTAACATGTGAGCCACTCCACAAGCCCCCTACCCCCCAAGTTCAATTTGTGTTCTGTACTTACATGGTACCCCGCAGAAATAATGCCAGTAAATTAATAGCAGTAAGGATATATTTTTTCTTTGGTTTCACTATTACCTCAGGTGTGTAGGGTCCCCCTCCCCCAAGGTGTATACTATTTTCTAGGGAAAAGTAGTAAACATCTTTTCTCCAATGTATACAACTAGATTATATAATCTATGGTTGTAAGTTTTAGGTGTTACTGAAAAAAGGAATCATAATTCTTCTTGTTCCTGTTCTAAATACAGGTGTTTAAGAAGCACCTGCTATATGTGAACAATTTAGAGAGAACCAGGACGCAGTCTTGTCTGCCTGGAGTTTACAGCCAAGAGGAGGAAAGGAGCTAATTGCCCCCTTACCTGAAATCTGTGACATAAGGAAGAGCATCTGGATAGTAAAAGAATGGTATTTCTAGCCTGATGGCTTAGAGAAACAGATAATTTTTTCAGACATTTCAAATTGACTGATAGTCATTTTGGCAAGAAGCTTCAACTTAATTTATTTTACTCTTTCATCTGCTGTAGCTTTTGTTCTGGAGGTGGTCAAGCAAGGATGGTGCAAAGGCAAGATGGACAGGTTACTCAGTGTCCATAGATTGCAGGATTATCCCTTAGGTAACTGAATTACTATCCCCTCTTCAGGTCAGTTTTTTTGTTGTTGTTGTTTGGGTTTTGAGACAGTCTCACTGTGTAACCCAGGCTGGTCTTGATCTTGTAATTGATTCCTCCTGCCTCAGCCTCCTGTGTGCTGGGAGTATAGGCACATGCTTCCATGCTGGGCCTCAGCCCAATTCTTAAATAAATAACTCATGAAAAAATGTGGAGAATTGACTTCTGAATTTTAGTAGTGGCTTAGTTATTGAAGGCCCTATTCAATTCTCTTCCCCCCAATGATTTTAGTAAAATTCACTAATACTTACATAGAGCTGCGTGTTTGCCTCAAGTATTTTTCTAAGTTTTTTTATATATATTTAATCCTTATGTTAATTTTGAGGTAAGCACTATTTTTTCTCCATTTTTTTAAGCCAAAAAAAACTAAGGTTAAGTGATTTGTCTAGGTTTAGACAGTTGAGACCTAAATAGTCTGGCTACAAAAGGTCTGAGGAGTATATGGCAAAATGAGATTTTGGATATATTTTTTTTTTTTTTTCTTTTTGGTTCATTGCTCTATCTCAAGAGAATCCTGCCTTAATCTCCTGAGTGCTGAGATTACAGGCATGTACTACCATGCTTGCCTTTTTTGTTGTCTTTTTTTGAGACAGAGTCTCACTATGTTGTCCAGGCTGGCCTCAAACTAACAGTCCTCTTGCCTCAGTCTCCTGGATGCTGGTATTACAAGTGTGTGCTGCCAAGCTCTGCAGATTTTCGGTGTTTCTGATGAGAGATGAATTACGTGTCTCCTGTCTCTTGAAGAGGGTCTTCCCATAGCCAGATGGCATACTTGCCTCTTCGATGTAGGCCATACTTGGCAGTGAAATAAAACATGTCAATAGAAATCTCTGCTCCTAGCTCCTTTCTCCTCGCTTGGTTATCCTCTCTGTGATAGAGAGCAGTTATGCATGTGACATTTATTTACTGTCCAGTGCTTGGCTCTGTCGAGAAGATGTGATTGGCCTAGTGCTAGTTGGAGAGTAGTATGTTTTCAGCTGTTTAATCCAGTATTGTGAAGCATGCTTTTGTTTTTTTGTTTTCAGTGTGGTACAGTTTGGTTTAAGAAATATTAATGGAAATATTTTCAAATACCATCAGTTGAAAAAAGGTGGTAAAATAAAACTTTGCTTTGGATTCCAGATATGTGCAGCTGCCCTGAATATTGCATTCTGATACCGGGTTTTTCTTCTGTGCATTTCAACTTATAAATTAGTAGCATAATTTTGACTTCTGTCCATTTGTTTTATTTCTAGGAACCCTAAAGACTCTGCAATATGAATAATTCTCTAGAGAACACCATCTCCTTTGAAGAGTATATCCGAGTGAAGGCTCGGTCTGTTCCGCAACACAGGATGAAGGAATTTCTGGACTCACTGGCCTCTAAGGGACCAGAAGCTCTTCAGGAGTTCCAGCAGACAGCTACCACCACCATGGTGTATCAGCAGGGTGGGAACTGCATTTACACAGACAGCACTGAAGTGGCTGGGTCTTTGCTTGAACTTGCTTGTCCAGTCACCACCAGTGTTCAGCCACAAACCCAACAAGAACAGCAGATCCAGGTTCAGCAACCACAGCAGGTTCAGGTAAAAGTGAAATGTTTAGGTACAGCCTGTTTTACACATTTTATTTGCTGTCACAGTTTTGGTTAGTAGGAACATTATATCTTTGTAGAAGAGATTATTTTCAATAAGGGGAATCTTTGAAACTTTTTTTTTAATACTGATTCTGTCATAGTTAATGTGGACTAAAATATATTCAGCCCCTGTAAACTGAAAAGATATATCACAGATACTTGTTGTATCCTTCAGAGTTGAATATTATAGAAAGTGGAGGTCTGGGATTGGATTCGGATGTGATACCTGCTGTGCCAACTTGAGAAGAGACAGATGTAGGAAGGCTAGTTTTTGGTCTGTTACTGAAAGCTTGGCATTTGAAATTTGAATTAAAATGAAAGGCTGGTTTGTTCTAGTTTTAATTTTTTTTTAGGTTATGTAACTATATAACAGATTTCTGCATTGTTGTTTGATATTTATAAGTGTTAAATAATGCTAATTGATAATAAGTTTACTGAAAGAGGAGAAATTAATACATTTGCTGAGAAGGTAAAAGTCTTCTTTAGGGAACTTTATGTGAAACAATAATCTCCTCCAGCTACAGATGCTGTTTTCTTGCCACTGTGTTATGGTTGAGTTTTATTTACTCTGGATGCTTTCTGTACCAAGAAGACAGGAAAGGAGTAAAGCATGATGGAGGGGCAAGAATGTGGAGACATGTGTCTGGTGAGATAAAAGTCTTCACTGTATGACCTCTTGCCCCTAAGGGGTGCAGGTGGGTATTTTGGAAGGAAATGGGCTCTGAAGCTGGAGTCCTAGGTTTACTTTTTCTTTTGGCCGTACTGGGGTTTGAACTTAGGGCCTCATGCTTGCAAGGCAGGCACTCTGCCACTTGAGCCAGTCCTGGGTCCTGGGTTTAAATTTGACTTGACTTCTTAGTTGTTGACATGATCTTAATTTCTTTAGTCCCAGTTCTTCACCTGTCAAATATGGAAAATACTATATAGTGAGACTAAATGAAATAATGAACAAGAAAGCATCTGGCACATGGAGGGATAGATGCACTCATAGTTTATGCCAGTAATTGTAAGGAAAGAAAGGTGCTAGAAGTATTGATAAAAGAATGTTGGCTTTTTGGCTCACATTATTCTGCAGTTATTTATATCTCCTCCTCTTTCCTAATTGGTTGAAGATTTTGGACTTGACACTTTCTTTGATAATTTATTATGTTCCAGGGTAATTGAGATTACCTATTAACATTATCCTTTTCTCTAAACCCCATGTAAATGAAAGAAGAAATGTAAATACAAGAATAAATCCATGAGGTAGGTTCAATATGGTAGGCTCCTGAGAACATGCATTTTCTTCATTCTAAGTGACTGAAAAGGTATTTGAAGGACTGGAGGAATGGCTTAAGTAGTAGAGTGTCTGCCTAGCAATTTTGAAGCCCTGAGTTCAAATTTCAGTTACCACCACCACCAAAAAAAAAAAATAGAATTTCTAACAGTACTGGAAGAAAAAATGTCACTAAATCTGCTAGGCATGGTGATATATACCTGTAATCCCAAAACTTGGAGGGGGGGGGTGGAAAATGGAGGATTGTGAGTTTGAGGCCAGTTATCATAGCAAGTTCTAGGCCCTCCTGGACTATATAGTGGGACTCTGCCTGAAAAAAACCAAACAAACCAAAAAAAAAAAACCCCACCTCATTACATCTGAGATACTGCTGGACTGGAGGTGTGGTTCAAGAGGTAGAGTGCCTGCTTTGCAAGTGTGAAACCCTCAGTTCAAACCCCAGTCCCACCAAAAATAAAAAAATGAGACATTGCTAAAATAAATAAGCATACAGAATTAGGTGACAGAAATCAATGGAGAAGAGATCTTCTGGAGAAGATGATACAGTTATCAGGGTCCCACAGTCACGAAGTAGGGAGTATAGAGATGTAATCCCTCGTGTAGCCTCAGATTTTAAGGTTGTGACTAAGGATTTTAAAGCACACATGTACAGTCATCCCTCAGAAACCCTGGGGAATTGGTTCTAGGATCTCTCGCAGATGCTTGGGGGACAGAAGGATGAATAAATGCCTCTGCCTTCTTCCACCTCTCCCTCCCCTCCCCCAAAAAAATACCTGTGGCTGCTTTATCCCTTATATAAAGTAGTATCGAATTATATGTATATAACCTATACGTATTCTTCTATACGTTTTAAATGATACATAGATTAAATATAATACCAAATACAATGTGTAAATAGGTGCATTTAAAATTGTTTACTGCATTGTTTAGGGAATGATGACAGAAAAATCCGTATGTGTTAAATACAGATATAATTTTTTTTGATCCATGATTGGTTGAATCCATGGATGTGGAACCCACAGATAATGAGAGATGATTATATTTTTATAGTTAATAGAATGATAGCCTGATTACCAAGTTAGTGGTATAAAAATTCAGTAATAGTGCTCTTTCTTTTTTTTTTTTATTTTGGTGGGACTCAAAGCTTTGTGCTTACAAAGCAGGTGTTGTACCGCTTGAGCTACACCGCCAGTCCATTTTGCTTTGGTTATTTTGGAGATGGGGTCTTATGATTTATTTGGCTGGGCTGACCTCAAACCTCGATTCTCGAAATCTCAGCCTTCAAGTAGCTAGGATTATAGGCATTAGCCGCTGTCTCCTGGCAAAGATACAACTTTATATAAAACTTCAAAAAAATAATTTTCTTTCTGAACGGTATCAGACTCAAATATAGGCCTGAGTTACACAATTTTTGTACACATGGTAGTTTCTTGATCTCTTCTATATGCCTGTGTATATTTTATGGTTTGTTTATGTATTTATGTGATTAACCTGTATACTATCTATACACTTACAAAAGTATTAATTTTTCAGGAGAGCATGGGTGGTGAGTGGATGATTAACAAGTACATGAGTACAGTGGGTTGGAGGAATAACTTAAAATACTGTATACCATAGTAGGGTACCTATGGTTGACAGTGGTTAATTTTATGTTTCAATTTATGTTTCAAAGTAGCTGTTAGAGAGGTTTTGAATGTTCTCAACACAAAGAGTTAATAAATGTTTGAGGTGATGGATATACTAATTGATCTGATCATTACATGTTGTATACATGTATTGAAATGTTATACTGTACCTCATAAATAAATGTAATTATTATGTACCAATTCAAAGTAGGGCTGGGAGCTCAGAGCTAGAGGGCTTACCTACCTTGTGCATGGCCCTGGATTCCATTCCCAGCACCAAGTAAATAAATAAATATAAGCAAAATAAAGCAAAAGAAAAAATTTTCGAAGTGTGAGGTTTGAAACTAAAAATAGCAAATGAGACACAAAGAGATTAGGTCTGAAAGCTGTCGTTTTTGCACCTAAGCTATTTTGACTCAAACTTGTCCTCTTTTTTTTTTTTTTTTCTTTTGTGGAGGGTTTCTGGTAATTAATCCAGGCCATTATGCTTGAACTGCACCCCCACCCCAAACTTGTGCTCTTGGCTATTATTGCTAAGACACAAAAAAACCTCCTACTACTAGAGAAATAGACAAAGGATATAAGTAGACAGTCAATGGAAGAAGAAATACAGATGGGGCTAGTAAGCATATCCAGAAGTGCTTCATATAGCCAAATAAGAATGTTTTGGTTCATGCCTGTAATCCTAACCTTTGGAAAGTTGAGGTAAGAGGATTATGAATTCAAGGCCAGCCTGGGCTATATAGTGAGACCTTGTCTCAAAACAAACAAGCAAACAAAAAGCCACTGCATAGTAGTGATTATAGAAATTTAAATTTTTAATTTTTCATTTAGTTCTTTTTCTTTTTCTTTTCTTTTTTTTTTTTTGCAATAATGGAGTTTGAATTAAGGGCCCAAGAATTTGGGCATAACCAATAATTTGTTAATGCAGTTACTTTGAGAACTGAGAACTGTATAAAATACTTTGTAAGTCCCATGAATGCTGTTTAGCACATAGTAAACCCTCAATAAATAATAGCTTTTGCCAGGTGCCAGCAGCTCACTCCTGAAATCCTAGCTACTTGGGAGGCTGAGATTGGGAAGATAGAGGTTGGAGGCGAGCCCAGGCAAATGTTTTGAGAGACCCCATCTCCAAAATAACCAGTGTAAAATGAACTGGAGGTGTGGCTCAAGCAGTAGAGTGCCTGCTTTGCAAGTATGAAGCCCTGAGTTCAAACCCCAGTCCCACCAAATAAATAAATAAATAAAAATTTAAAACGCTATTACAGGCTGGAGGTTTGGTTCAAGTGGTAGAGTGCTTGCTTAGCAAAACCAAAGCCTCAAGTTCAAAACCCAGTACTGCCAAATTAAAAAAAATAAATAAATAGCTGTTAGGCCAGGTGTTGTGGCTCATGAGTGTACTCGAGAGATGGAGTCAGGAGGATTGCAATTCTAGGCCAGCCAGAGCAAAAAGTTAGTGAGACCCCCATCTCAATAATTAGCCCAGTGTTGTGGTGCTCCTCTGTGATGAGGACAGTGCCAGGCAAAAACATGACACCCTACCTGAAAAATAACTGAAGCAAAAAAGGGCTGAGGTTGTGACTCAAGTGGTAAGAGTTCAAACTCTAGTATTGCCACAAATAATCATAATCACCATCATAATAGCTGTTGGTATTCCTCTCTCCCTCTTCTTCCTGTCATTAGTTTCATTTGTACTAAAGGCCCATTTGCTTTTCAAACATTCGAATAGTATTTAGACTAACATTATAAATAGTAAAGGTTAGTATGTGTTGGTGGTTTGTTATTTTTCCTTTTTTTTTTTAAGACGATGTTACAGTTAGTTCAAATATATAGTACCCCTCTGTGAATATTTCCCCCCACAGGGGTAAATATTATTTTGAAATTGGTGTGATTCTTTTTTGTAATCCATTAGGTTTTTTTGGTTGTAAATATTAGATAATCCCCCCTTCCCCACCAGTTTCCTCAGAAAAAATTGACTAAAGGATAGTAACTAGCTCAAGGGATTTGTGGGAAAGTCAGTGTTGGTATATAGTATAGGTATTGGAGGCT